TTTGAGACGGAGTCTTGCTATGTTGCCAGGCTGGAGTACAGTGGCATGACCTCGGCTCACTGCAACCTCTGCCTCCCAGCGAGTTGCCAGGCTGGAGTACAGTGGCATGACCTCGGCTCACTGCAACCTCTGCCTCCCTCTGCCTTCAAGCGACTCCCCTGCCTAGCTGAGGTAATGTTTTTATGAAAAAAAGATTTAAAAATATTGGTCACTTGAGATATGAGGGCTGGGGGCTTAAACTGAAAAACAACTAATTGGCCGGGCATGGTGGCTCACGCCTGTAATCCCAACACTTTGGGTGGCCGAAGCAGGTGGATCATCTGAGGTCAGAAGTTCAAGACCAGCCTGGCCAACATGGTAAAACCCCATCTTTACAAAAATAAAAAAAAATAGCCAGGCATGATGTTGGGTGCCTGTAATCCCAGCTACTCAGGAGACTGAGGTGGGAGAATCACTTGAACCTTGGAGGCAGAGATTGCACTGAGGCAGAGATTGCACTGAGCCAAGATAGCGCAGCCTAGGCGACAGACTGAGACTCCATTTCAAAAATAAATAAATAAAATATTTACTCAGTTACTTCTGGTTTCACTTAACTACTTGCCAATTCAATTTCCATATATTATTCCCTTCAGTTTCAATAACTACATTCATTCTAAACATTCATTTATTTACCTTAAAGCAGTAGTGCTCAAAGTGTAGTATGGGGACTCTCAGAATCGCAAAGACCCTTTCAAGGGATTCCTGAGATCAAAATCATACGAGAGTAAAAGATTAAAAGTACACAACAAAGCAATGAATTCTAATGCAACAGAATATAAAACATATGTTGACATGGTTTCAGATTCCACATTGCACTAACCTTTAAGAAATTACCACTTATCAAGTTTTGTTGCAGAATCAAAGAGTATCACAACTATCTGAAAAAGTTAAGATACCCTGCCCAACATACTGGTCATAAACTTCAACCAGAAACATGGATAGAAACAGACTGATAGTAGAATCCAGCTGTCTTGTATCAGGTCAAACATTAAAATTTACAAAAATGTAGTACTATCACCATTCTTACCCTAAATTTTTTATTTTGGAATAGTTTTTCAATAAAATATTATTTATTAAATATATTAAGCTGAGTGTGCACACCTGTAGTCCCAGATATATGGGAGGCTGAAGCAAGAGGATTACTTCACCCAAAGAATTCAATGCCAGCCTAGGCAACACAGTGAGCATGTTACTGAGCAAAAGAATTTTAATTTAAGCTGAAGTTTAATTATATTCATATGAATTTATATATATGAAATTAATTTCTAATATAGTAACTATCAATAGATATAAATCCATATAAACAAAAGCTACTGGAGTCCTACATAATTTTTTTTTTTTTTGAGGCAGGGACTTGCTCTGCTGCCCAGGCTGGAGAGCAGTGGTGCGATCTTGACTCACCACAACCTCCGCCTCCTAGGTTCAAGTGATTCTCCTGCCTCAGCCTCCCAAGTTGCTGGGACCATAGGTGTGTGCCACCAGGCCCAGCAAATTTCGTGATCCACCCCCCTCAGCCTCCCAAAGAAAGTGCTGGGATTACAAGCGTGAGCCACCGCGCCTGGCCCAGGGTCCTGCATAATTTTTAAGAGTGTAAGGGGATCCTAAGACCAAAAAGTTTGAGAACCACCACATTAAAGTAATACTTAATACCTCCTTTTAATTTACCCTCTGAGTTTTTGAGTGAACCTTACATGTGCTGCCATAAATGCTTAAAGGAAGGTAAAGAGAGCCGAGGATATAAATCTTCCTTCCTTCAAATGCATTGCAATGCAATCAAGCCTAAGATGTATATCCCCCTTCCCCTCATAAAAAGAAAAGACATAATGGCTGGGTTAACAGAATGCTCTATTTGCCAAAAGTAATTACAGTATTATAATACCAAACGTATACAGAAAAAACGGAACCAAAGGATTTTCATTGAATGATGCACAGAAAGATACAAGTGTCGGGGTTACAAAAGGGTTAATCTAGTCTGTAAGTTAATTATCTACAGTAACAATTTTACTAGAGTTGGTTTCTATTACCTAAATTTTAACCACCTTCAATAGAGTATTCCAAGAACTCTATGTGGAACAAAAATCTGCTAATAAAAGTCATGAAAAAATATTTATTACAAAAAAATCTGAACTGTGCAGTGCTGGTACTCTCATTAACAGAATAAATACATGCTCTGCTTTCCTTTTAAACACAAGTTCCCGTTCCAAAAAAAAAAAATAGAATAAATACAATCAGCTCTGCATCATAATGAATTACCAAGCTAAAAAGGACTATCTGGCAAAAGAAGTTAATGGCATTCATTAATTAGGGAACTTTTTTGGTTATTCTGTGAAGCCTAATTTATCAATTTAAATGCCAGCACCTTGCATGGGATGGACATTAAAAAAATTACTTGGCCAGGCATGGTGGCTCACATCTGTAATCCTGGCACTTTGGGAGGCTAAGGCAGGTGGATCACCTGAGGTCAGGAGTTCAAGACCTGCCTGGCCAACACCGTGAAACCCTGTCTCTACTAAAAATACAAAAAATTAGTTGGGTGTGGTGGCAAGCACCTGTAATCCCAGCTACTTGGGAGGCTGAGGTGGGAGAATCACTTGAACCCGGGAGGTGGAAGTTGCAGTGAACTGAGATCGTGCCACTGCATTCCAGCCTGGGCGACAGAGACACCATCTCAAAAAAAAAAAAAATTATTATTATTTGTTCACTACAGAATCATAATATTGAGAAAAGTAAAACAATAGCATATTTTCCTCAGTCAGCAATGATAAAGGAGTTCTAGCTCATAAGCCAGGACAAATTTTGGAACTGTGCTTCCAAAGTCACACATCTGACCCAACAGTCATATTCTACATTCTGCCTTTAGGGAAAAAGTGGCTCTAATACAGTCCTAGTTTCCTCATTTCCTTACGTGCCCTAGGCTTGAAATTTGTGGCTTCCAAATTAAGCACCCTTTTTTTTCTTTTTTTTGAGGAGTCTCGCTCAGTCTCCCAGGCTGGAGTGCAGTGGCCTGATCTCGGCTCACTGCAACTTCCGCCTCCCCGCTTCAAGCGATTCTCCTGCCTCACCCTCCTGAATAGCTTGGATGACGGACGCGTGCCACCACACCTGGCTAATTTTTGTATTTTTAGTAGAGACAGGGTTGTACCGTGTTGGTCAGGCTGGTCTCAAACCCCTTGTCTTGACCTCCCAAAGTGCTGGTATTACTGGAGTGAGCCACTGCACCCGGCCCAAATTAAGCACTTTAAAAAAAACTTCTCATCCTACGCCCATGTCTAATTCCATTGATGTTGAGTTTTTTTGTATTTCAAATTTAAAAAAATAAAACAAATCCATCAGGCACAGTGGCTGAGGCCTGTAATCCCAGCACTTCTAGAGGCTCAGGTGATCACCTGAACCCAGGAGTTCGAGACCAGCCTAGGAAACATGGCGAATCTCTATGTCTACAAAAAATACAAAATTTAGCCTAACATGGTCGCAGACCCCTGTAGTCCCAGTCACTTGGGGAGGTGGAGGTGGGAGGACTGTTTGAGCCCAGGGAGGTCGAGGCTGCAGTGAGCCGTGATTACACCACTGCAATCCAGCCTGGGCGACGGAGGGAGACCCGTCTCAAAATAAAATAACAATTTAAAACTCCATCAGTGTTAGTGTCCTGCAAAAAACAGAAACTAAAGACTTCATCAGGCGACAAAGTGAATACGGCATAGTTCACCACAACCTGGATGTTTTCAACTGAAATCCATGTTTTACCCAGTTTTTTAAAAAATCAGTGTTGGTGGGGTGTCCATCCAACACCTCATTCCACTAAGTAAAGTTTTTGTTTCCTGCAAAGGTTATTTATTGAGATATCATTTGGTAATACAATTTAGATACCCATGTGCCACGATTCCTGGTTAAAGGAACCTCATTGCAGCTAAGACGACAGAAAACAAGGCTCATAGTACTTCTTAAATCCCAAAGTTTGAGCTCCTTCCTCCTGCTCTTCCTCCCTCCCGGGGTACCCGCTGCGTCCCCATCCCCCCAGAAAATAAAGCACACGCCGGGTTTTCGGACGCATAGCTGAGAGGCGGAGGGAGAAGGTAGTCTTCTAATTGATGGACTTGCTATCCCATTCTGCCTATGCAAAATAAACCCCCACAGTAAAATAATCTTGAACCGTGATAAAAATCCAGGACACAATTCCCTTTGGCTCGCCTCTCTCCATCGCTATAAACTTTACTGCGGCCCTCAATGCACTAATTTCTATTCCAGGGCCGCCCTACCTGTGCCGAGACCCCCATCTGCAGCCCGAGTTACTCCATGACCTTGGCCCCGCTCCCCTCCCAAGCTCAAGGCTGTAAACCTAGGACCCCACATTGCGCCCCGCAGACTGCCGAGGCCTCCAGGATCAGGCCAGGTCAGCGGGCTGCGGCGAAGGGCAGCGAGCGACTGCTGGAGAGGCTGGCTGGGAGAAAGCGCTGGGAAGAAAAAACGCCGGGGGCGGAGACCGGGCCCGAGGCTACCTGCCAGGCCAGCGCCGGCGAAGCCCTGGTGATCGCAATGGCTGCACGCCACCTCGGGGCTCCCGGAGCCCTCGCGGCCGTGCTGGGAACTCCGGCCCGGCCCTTCCCTGTCCGCGGCCCTTTATGAACTCCGACCGCCCAGCAAGCAGCGGCAGGTGGTGCGCGGCCGCGAGAGCCGGTTAACTGCCTACCTCAGGCGACGGCGTCTCGGAGCCTGGAACCTCCCGCCTCCCTCCTAGAGGCGCGAAGAGCCGGGACCGAAGCAGTAGGAAGAGGCGTGCGAGGCAACACGCCACGGAGGGTGGAACAGGAAGACGGAGAACCTCCGCTCCCTGGAGAGGCTGGCAAAAGGGAGATGAGGACGCAGGCGGCGGGGACCGTCAGGGACGCTCGCGTACCTTCCTTATGCCTGGCAGAGGGTCCGACTGGAGCCAGCGGATCCCCTCACATCCGGGTATCTGGAGACACTCAGCTGCTTTTGCTGCGGCCGCCGCCTCCCCCGCAACGCAAACACCAAACTTCCGGCGACGACTGCAACGCCTCGCTCGTCAGATGGGAGTTACCTGTGACCGTCTTGGGTGCGCTTGCGCAACGCTCCTCTTCAGCTCTAACCGGCTCAGCTGACGTGCCCAGAAGACGAAGATGGCCGCTACGCTCACTGCGTGTCACGCAGTTTTTCACCCTGGCCCGGATGCCTGGGCGTCGGGGAAAGCAGAGCCAGAGTCCATCCTCAGCGCAGGCGCGGTGGGAGGTCTCGCGCGCGCGCCTCCGCGGGTGGGCACCCGGCGGGGAGGTAGCCGCGCCCCCTAGCGGCGGTCGCTTGTCCTTCCTGGGGTCATCGCTTTGAGCTAAAAACCACCCAGGCCCCCAGCAAGTAGTGGTTTACCTTGGAAATTTGTCGCAACTAGTTGCCCTGTAGGTTTCGGCTGTTTCTATCTGCGATGTCTAATCCAAGTGCCTTTGGTCTTCCATATGAGCCAATGTAAAGAAGGTGGCGGGGGGCCGGGCGCAGTGGCTCTTGCTTTTAATCCCAGCACTTTGGGAGGCCGATGCAGGTGGATCATTGAAGATCAGGAGTTCAAGACCAGCCTGGCCAACTTGGTGAAACTCCATCTCTACTAAAAATACAAAAAAAATTAGCCGGGCAGTAGTGACGTGCGCTTGTAATGCCAGCTACTCGGGAGGCTGAGGTGGGAGAATCCCTTGAGCCTGGGAGGCGGAGGTTGCAGTGAGCTGAGATTGCTGGCCAAGAGAGTGAGACCCTGTCCATGAAAAAAAAAAAAAAAAAAGTGGGGCGGGATCCTTTTCTCCTTCCCTGCACTGCATTGCAGTGCCTACAAAAAATGCAGGGCTTCACCCTCTCCTTGTACACTTCCCTCCTGTGTACCAGAGCGCAAGGGCCATCAGAAATTGTAGAATATTCCACTACATTTTTAGTTAGACTGAGTGTTCAGACAAAGCTTTGGCTCGATCCTGGAGGCCTCTAGAGATAGAAGAGATAGAATCCAGGATTCTATCACTATACTATGATTCCTGGTTCCTACACTTTTTTTTTTTTTTTTGAAACAGGATCTTGCTGTGTAGCCCTGGCTGGTGTGCAATGGCACAATCACAGCTCACTGTAGCCTCGACTTGGGCTCAAGCGATTCCTCCTGCCTCAGCCTCATGAGTAGCTGAGACCAAAAGCCCACAACGCCACCCACGCCAGGCTAATTGTTCTATTTTTTGTTGAGATAAGGTCTCACTGTGTTGCCCAGGCTGGTCTCCAACTCCTGTCCTCAAGCGATCCTCTCTCCTTTGCTTGGCTTCCCAAAGCGCTGGGACTACAGGCCTAAGCCTGCAGCTGCTACCACACTGCTTTTGAGCATATGTTATGTGCAGCTCTTATTTGCGGAATTATGAGGTTGGATAGATACTTGTGGCTTTCGAATGCGAAGAGGTGATCATAAGTGAGTTTCCCCCTTCCTGCCCTCTTTCTTTGAAGCCAAGTACAACCAAAATGTGCTCTAAGTTTGTCAAACCTGAGGTTTTTCTGACAGTTCATCTTCTACAAAATTTTAGTAAGCTGCCTGTCAGTTTGCTCAAGGCGATTTTATGACAAATGAGGCCAGGTGCGGTGGCTCACACCTGTAATCTCAGCACTTTGGGAGGCTGATGTGGGCAGATCAGTTGAGGTCAGGAGTTCAAAACCAACATGGCTAACATGATGAAACCCCATCTTTACTAAAAGCATAAAAATTAGCTGGGTGTGGTGGCAGGTGCCTGTAATCCCAGCTACTGGGGAGGTTGAGGCAGGAGAATTGCTTGAACCCAGGAGGTGGAGGTTGCAGTGAGCCGAGATCACTGCACTCCAACCTAGGTGACAGAGTGAGACTTGTCTCTGGGGAAAAAAAAAAAAAAAAGCTAGTTATTTATCAGTAGATCTGACCTATGTTTCCCTTCATCTTCTGATTGGCAGACAAGTGGTAGGACTTCTTTTAGTTGGATAAACTACTTTGTCTTTAGTAATTCAAATTCTGGCATACAAAGAAACCAAATTTATGAGCTTAATTCTCACAAAATAGGTCTCTGCTTCTGAGTAGTCTGTTCCACTCTATGTGTTATATTGGCCTCAATCAGGAACATAGGAATTCGTGCAAATATCAGTCCATATGAAATCATAGCCCACTGGCCAGGGGCCTAAGCTGTGGCAGCTTCAAGCTCTGCTGCCCCTGGTGTCTGATCCCAGCTGGTGGCCTTAAAAAACAAGAAAAGAGGCCGAGCGCGGTGGCTTACGCCTGTAATCCCAGCACTCTGGGAGGCCGAGGCGGGTGGATCACGAGGTCAACAGAACGAGACCATCCTGGTCAACACGGTGAAACCCCGTCTCTACTACAAATACAAAAAATTAGCTGGGCATGGTGGTGTGTGCCTGTAATCCCAGCTACTCAGGAGGCTGAGGCAGGAGAATTGCCTGAACCCAGGAGGCAGAGGTTGCGGTGAGCCGAGATCGCGCCATTGCACTCCAGCCTGGGTAACAAGAGCG